TGCATATAATTGCATATTTGGAATAAAAATTATGCATATATATGCGCATATTTTGATTGAATTTAACTGCATATATTCCGCGCTTTACTGATAACAATGAATCAACAAATTAACAAAGGAGGTGCTCATGTGCTTTCCAATGCAATTTCCAATTAAAGGACACACACAACTATACACGCTAAAGCAGTTTAAGTGAAAAAAAATGCGGATCGTCCATAAATTTGCAGAAAAATGTATTACAAACTTTTGAAAATCATCTTCAAACGACCGGGTATGTATCATTGCAAATGAGATTGCACATTGCCGTGTACTGTTAAATGTTGTTTTAAGAACTAACAATCGATGTTGTGCAACAAAATTGTGCCTAGGATCCACTACAATCAAGTTTTTGAAAAACTGTTGGACCTATTTTAAATCGCCTGATTGATTGTGGAATTCGTATCAAGAAAAGATTAAATTACATTAAATCGTATCGATAGAACCCCGGTACCGGTTCCCTATGTCTTACGTAGTAGTCCAGATGCTGCCCAGATGATGTCCATTTGCATTATATTGCACGATTCAAAGTTCTTAACTGGTAAAATATTACTACCTACTTGTTTAGTGATTTTTATCGGAGACGATTGTTAAACCAGATGTTGAGCGGATATTTTTTAAAGAAGGCAGGGTCAATTTATGAAAAACGCTCAAGATTAAGTGCAAATAAAGTGTCACAACTATTATTAATAACTTTTAATGCAATGATATGTTTTATTATTTGTTATTTTATTTTGTAACAACAAATTATCAATATTTGGATATCTTTTTTGTAATCTTTCATATTTAACATAAAATGATAAACATCATTACTGTTTTGTAATAATATATTGTAACAGAAATGGCTGGGCTACTCACGTTTGGAATGGGGGATCGAAATTCATGGAATTTCAGTAAATAGGAGTCCCATTTGGGCCCCATTTACTGTCAAATATGACACTGACAAGCGGGAAGTTTTGCACGTGTTCTGGAGATTTCGAGAACTATCTGGGTTACCTAGAGGAAACTATATAAGCGACGACGAGAACCAGACGGGGGGGAGTGAAGTGACAGGAGCGACCGGGTGCAGAAGAGATTGAACCCCGTGAGTCGGAAGAGCGAGTTTTCCGTCGGTTATTGTTTGTGAAGTTGACGGTAATTTTGAAGTTAGTTTGTTCCTGTTCCGCATTTAAAGTTATACCGAGGTGAATAAAAGTTGAAAGCAGAAGAAAGAGTTTGATACCCGGCCATCCACGGTACAATATAATAAATATGTTTTGAATTTAATTGAAAAAATATTTGAGTTTACCTCGGTTATTTCAGAAAACATGGGTTCCGTCTTCGTTCTATAGTTGCAAAATATGTAAAATGAATTTATTAGGGCTTAATTTCAATTGTCTATTTTATTTCTATGATTAATTGTGTTTGCCACGTATCAAAATGGATTTTTCCCTTCATATAGCATTTGATTCCTTTATGATTAAATCCTCTCAATTTAGTTTAATTTTTTTAGCCTTGGATTAGTTCAGCTAGAACTTTTTTTTGAACATACGCGCGATGGCTTACATTATGTATACTGTACCGTGGATGGCCGAGTATTAAACTCTTTTTTCTGCTTCCAACTTTTATTCCACTCGGTACAACTTTAACTACGGAACAGGAACAAACTAACTTCAAAATTACGATCAACTTCACAAACGATAACAATAACACACGGAAAACACGCGTTTCCAACTCGCGGGTTTAATCTCCTATGCACCCGGTCGCTCTTGTCACTTCACTTCCCCCGTCTGGTTCTCGTCGTCGCTTATATAGTTTTCTCCAGGTATCCCAGATAGTTCTAGAAATCTCCAGAACAGGTGCGAAACTTCCCGCTTGTCAGTGTCATATTTGACAGTAAATGGGGCCCAAATGGGGCTCCCATTTACTGAAATACCATGAATTTCGATCCCCCATTCCAAACGTGAGTACCCCAGGCCATTTCCGTTACAATACATATAGTGTGTCAAGTGTATCCTGTCTTTATAGCTCTTCCTCGTTTTACCGTCAATTTTAAACAGATAGAACGTCTTCCAGTCACCAAAATTAATTGATTTTTTAGTCCTATTCAGATACAAGTTGTAGCAGACGTTCATGAACAACATACACAAGAGCAGTTACAAAAACATGCTACAATGCGAAAAGTATTAAGTAATGCTTAAGAGCATTAAGTAATAGATCAACTCAAAGTAGCTTCCATCACGCACGAACTTGTGCTGAACGTCAAAGATTATTCAAAGCAAATAAGAAATTACTACTAAAAAATACAGAAACTCAAGAAGAACAGTTTACACAAACCCAAGAAGAACAATATGTGCAACCTCTTGTTAAAGAATGTTAAATTTTACCTATTCCTGATCCATTTATAAATTATTATACTAACAAAAATATTAAAATAATTAAATAAAATTATTATTGCCATYATGCGTTAAACAAGTTCAATATTTTATGGTTTCTATAAATATATGAAGTTATCGCTTCTGTCGAGCGTCCCGTGACGCACACAATTTTGTTTGTATCAAAAAAGTTCTCTTCTGCAATTCCAGGTTCCGGGCACCGAGTATTGGACTCACATAAAAGTTATTTGTGGACTGTATTTTTGATTGTAGCGCAAGATGGCAATAAGCCAGAGCTCGCGTAGATGCCCGGAAGGCAGAGCCGGATAATAATTAAATTGGTTTTTCGATTTTAAGATTGCATTTGAACTTTCGCTTACAACATGGCAGCTAATACTAAAAAAACTCGTCAACCTCTCACCTTTTCACCTCTGGCAAGAAAGCGTTGCTTGGTCACCATTGAAGTACAAACAATGAATTGTTTGATGTTATTTCCCGTCGTATGGTGACCAAATGTGAAGTGGCACAAATAAATTGTTATACAAATAAATTGTTCGATGTTGTTTCCAACACCGAGGAACAAGTATTGAACATAATCGAATCAGGGGCACTCAGAGCACAATAACTGACACTTTCCCAAGAACCAAATAAATACCGAGGAAGGGATACATTCCTGCCACGTTTGTACAATACACACAGCACAAGGAGATACAAATGGAGCAGCAGTCAATTAACTGAATACGAGAAGCTGCTTGATAAGAGTGGATAATAAGGAGATTACACAGGCACTAGCTTATTTGGACTTAACCATTCAAATGTTTGGTGTTGTATGGTTTATTTCACAGACTAGTCACTTTATTTATAAACACCAATATTCGAGGTTATGAGAACAGGTTGACAGTTCGAAAGTACGTTCCGCAGTCAACAAATCTTGTTGAATTTACCGTTTATCCTTGTCTATCTTATTGTCACTCTGTATAATTCCATGGTTACCGGAGTTTTAAATAATTACGAAGGAACAGGTACTTGTGCAATGTTAATTAGGCAGATTACCTTGAAAAACATTGCTGCCGTATTTCTGATATAGTTTTCTGCAAATTTCTCAGTTTCTCAGAATTGATTTTTTTTTCGATAATTTCTAGAATATGTTAAGAGCAGAAAATCGAATTTCTACTTTGTTATTAAACATTATGTTAAAAGGGTTCCATGTTTAATTGGACGTATATTGGAATACTAAAGCATTCAAAAAGCAAAATTACGGTTTTTGCTTCAAACTACGAAAATTTTTGATATTTAAAAAGTTCTCTTCTACAACTTTTTGATGATTTTTTGGCATTAACAGGTAGTTACAGGCGGATAGCCCTTGTCAATAATAACGATAAATTGTCAAACTGTGACTTACTTTGAATTTATTTTCACGAATTTGCGGATGTGCGATTAGTTCAGGGGAAATGTTACAGTAACACAGCAGAAGCTGAAAGAACTCACGCCAACAAAGAGCGAGGAGAGTGGTTCCAGGAAGATAGTGGACGACAACGATTCTTATTGAATTTACCGTTTATCCTTGTCTATCTTATTATCACTTTCTCTATTTATCCATGCTTACCGGAGTTTTAGGTTATTACGAAGCAACAGGTATTTACGTAATGTTAATTAGGCAGATTACCTTGAAAAACATTGTTGCCCGTTTTCTAAGATAGTTTTTTGCTAATTTCTCAGTTTTTAATAACAAATTATTTTGTTTACTATTTTTTCTGTACTACTAATACATCGCCAGAGAACACCTTCAGAGGAACGACGCCAATTTTGAAGCACCCTGTATATATATAACGTAAAATAATCTCTGACGATAGGGTTAGAAACCATATGGTAAATGCGCGTGGCATTCGAAGCCGAACGAACGAACTTCAATCCAAAGTCTGCGGATCTGCGGTCTCATCTTAAATGTTAAGTGTTGTTCAAAGTGCCGCGTTGTAAGAGGCCAGGTGTCACGGCACATAGCCACACAGAGCGGCATCAACACACAAGTGTCTTAAGACACAGTATTACCCAGGCGTAAATCACCCGTTACTTCTATAAATAATTTTTACGGGGAATATTCTTAAGGCAATTTTACAGTTTCTTTCAAACTTGAAAAATAAAACAAATTTTAAAACATACGCGATTAAGCGGTTTTAAGTTGATAATGTATTTATTTCGTAATATAAAGCTGCTGCTAAATATATTAAGTACGTAAGTTTTCGTACGTAGGTACACGTATGTAATTAAACAAGTTCACATATATACACACATTACTATGCATATTAAATTAAGAAAAAAAACATTAAACTCCTCAATTTTCATTTTCATAGTAAAAGTGAAATAATTCAATCTAGATTTGACCGCAAAAAGAATTAAAACCAGGCCTTCAAACAAGTTGTAAGTCGACCATGCACAAGGGCTGACAGGAGATTAATTCTGAAAACATTTCCACCTAAAAATGAGAATTGTCGGGTTTGAATGCTTTTTATTTATTTAGATTGTTTTTCAATTCGCTTACACACTATGTATATGATATTGCATAGGATACATTAGCTGTAAAATTGATAACATATTATTTTCATAACATTCACTTCGATGAAGTATTTTCTAAAATAATACAATTTGTGGGACCAAAGAACTCACAGTCGCTTTGAAGTGTCGACCTAAATTTATCGTCAAATTCATTCGTCAAATAAACGATCATGTTTTGTCGTACTTCTTCCATACACGAATTGTATGTTTCAGGCGTATCCAAAGTTAGACACCCATTTAAAGTCGTTTCATTTGCAATTTGGCCATCAATCATTTCACTCATATGTGAATCATACAAGTCGAGCCTAGAAGAATAAAAAATAGTTTATTTTATACATAGAAAAAGTCTTCATTTCTAATAAAAAAATACTATTAATCCACTCGGACTTTCTGCCCTTGTATATGCATATGTTCATCTGTATCTTGTGCTAAATAAAATCAAGCAAATAAAATTAAAGAGCTATATATACATTGTATATTGTACAACTCTGTCTGTAAGGAAACTGGAGTAGCTCAGTGTTTACAGGTAAGGCTAGCGACCTGCCTGGAGTAAAAAGAAACAAAGTGCTCATAGAACGAACAATTCAGCCTCGGATAGGACAGAAACAACTAATGACGACTCGTCGCAAGAAAGAAATTAACGACATCGGAAACCATTAAGAATCGGATGCTGGAACGTAACGTCCTTGAACAACAAATATCAGGAAATTTTGCTGCACTTTGCACAAGTTGCTGCATCTGGGATGTGCGAATCTCTATACACGTAATATTTACTGTATGACAGATAACTAAGCCCGCTGTATGTGTTTCGTCAACATCGCCCAAGCCTTCGACAAAGTAAGGCTAGCTAAAGCTAAACGCCAATAACTACACATCCATAAAAGTAGCAGATAGTCTAAGAATAAGACAGGGACACAGTTTAAGCCCCACCCTATTCAACGGAATCATGGACGAAATAATCACAGCGGCCAACAAGGTGGGGCGAAGATCTCGGATGGGGGACAAGGAAATCATAGTAATATGCTACGCTGACGATGCCGTATTAATAAATATCCGAAAGCGAAGACGATTTTCACCGGCTTCTTTATAAGTTCTAACAAATTGCGTTAAAATTATTTGAGAAAAAAACTTTGAGAGGCTGCAGTTTGTGGGACCGCATTAGAAGCCCTGACATGAAAACACAGGGCGACATTCAAGATGTGGTGAGATGGGGCCGCAATAGAAGAACAGAGTGGAGAGACCATACCAACAGGATGGACGAGGCTATCTAAAATCGCAAATGAGGGACGCCCGGTATCGAAAAGACCTCTTGGAAGACCACCAAAACGATGGCACGACAGCTTGAGCTGGGCGTATCAAGTACGGTTGTAATTGTTGAAGACAAACAGAATGCAATCCTACAACAAAGAAAAAGAAGAACTTAAACAGGGTGATTTAGAATTGGCGTCATTCCTTTTAAAAGGTTATAGGGGCTCACTTAAAGAGTACCAGAAAAATATTGAAAAACCTTTTTAGAAAATTTCTAGAAGATATTAACAGTTGAAAATCGAATTTCAACTTTGTTATTAAGTATTATTTTGAAATTGGCCCATGTTTAATTGGGAGCATACTAGAATGCTTAAGCATTCGAAAGAAAAAATTACGACCTTTAATTCAATCTACGAAAAAATTGTATTTAAAAAAAGTTCTCTTCTACAATTTTTTGATGAAAAGTCAAAGCAGCAATGATGCGTTTCGCCATCAACAGATAGTTATAGGTAGATAGCATTTGTCAATAATATCAATATTTAGTCACACTGTGACTTATGTGATTTAGTTTTGGGGAAATGCTACAGTAACATAGCATAAGCTGTAAGAACTCACGCACCAAAGGGCTAGAAACACTGGAAATTGGCTTCAGGAAGATAGTGGACGACAATAGATGTTCGGGTTCCAGACGCAGTATATACCAAAAACGATAATTTTTTTTCATTGTTATCTTAAAAAACCAAAAATGAGATCAAGTATCCCTACTCTCCCCACCTACCACAGGAATTTAGAACCGTTTATTTTACACAGCTTGTTCCGTAAGCACTTGTCATGACATTTTGTTAAACAATTGACATATATAAAAAACTATAAGAGGTAAGTTAACAAAACTAGAGTTGCTCAAACTAGCAATTGGAAGGCGAATCCAACTACGTTTACCCTCTTTTACCCAGGGTAGGGTGCTAGCCTGACCCTGGAACCTTTCTCCTTTATCCCGGCTTAGGACCGGCAGCATAGTCATCAAGTTACTCAGTTCACCCAATGACCATACATTTAAAGTACCTATACAAAAATAGATTACAACAAAAAATGGAAGAAACCCCGATTTTAAATACTAACCACTCCAATCTAGCTTGGGAAAGAATCAAGAAGAATACCAAGAATTCGGCAAGGGAGGCCCTTGGAGAACGAACCATAAAAGTGAATAGTAACCACGTAATCAACCACAAGACACCATGGTTCCGCCCAGAGGTCAAAGAACACTGCAAAGAAAAAAGAAAAGCCTACCTAAAATATTGTACAATGCGAACCCCAGAATCATATAATGAATATAAGCAAGTTACAAAACTAAAGAATTAATGAGACAAATCGAAAACGATCACTGAGAAATGTTATGCAAACGTCTGGAAGGTAATTTCTACGAGCTTCAAAAACAGATATGGCGATTCATAAGAAACCAGGCCAGAAACAGCGAAAACCAAAAGACTCCTAGAGACAGCCGAGATGAAAATACTCCGTAGAATCACCGGAAAGACACTGCTGGATAGAGAGAGAAGCGAGAATGTCCGAACAGCCTGTAATATCAAGAACATCAATGAATGGGTAGCAAACAGGAAGAATGAATGGAATGAACACATAAGCAGGATGGACCACCGCAAACTTGTGAGAATCGCTCGCGACAAGTCCCCATTGGGACGACGACACGTTGGGCGCCCCAGGAAACGATGGAGCGACAGTCTCACGCAAGTGAACGATAATTGAACAGGCGATTCGCCTAAAATCAAGAATAAAGAAGAAGAAGAAGAATTCCAGTGAGCGTTTTATTCCTGAAAAGGAAATGTTACAAAGCCGACGACGTTGTGACGTCACGATTTCCTTATTTTGTGTCAAATTCAACACAAAATATTAAATAACGTCATGGCGATTAGCTAATTATTCGGCAGAAAGGAATTATTTATACTTTTACACAAAATTCCGAAATTGTGTTTATTGGGTAGGTATTTAAAATTGAGCAAATTTGTAAAAATATACAAGTCTTCTTATTTAAGTATCTCCTTAAAAAAAGCCAAGTTTGGCTCGTTCCTGAAAACGTATATCTTATACAAAATAAAATAACTACCCCGCTCGATTATACGTAATAAGCTTTGCAACTGTCAGTTTATTCCTCTTCTCTGTCTTGCTGCTCAAAATACAAGGGGTCTCAAAAAATGCTAACTTCATTTTTTTTGACAAAAATCGGTAACGGAATTGTGAAAACCGCATGCTTCAATCTTCAATAATAACTGGCATGCTCACGGTTTAAAACAAAAAAAATTACACCGTTTAAACTTACCAAAGAACTACTCTATGTTTCATGGTTGTGTGGAAGTATTTTTTGAATAGCATGGGGTTATCACTAAAGTAAAGTGTTTTCTTTAATCATTTTAAAATAGTTTTTGAAGAATGGATTTTGGTCCTACCTGATATCCCATAAAATAGTTCCGTTGGCGTTTACGATACAAACAGCATAATCTGTGCAATCGGTGTTAATTTGATGCCTGTCTTTCAACTCCAGAGCACTCAAACCACTATGCTTTTCAAGCGATTCTAAGAATGAGTCTAGATATGTGCTCTCTTCGTCATCCGGGTTTATGGAACCTATAGCTGAACTGAATAATGTCTGAAACAATGAAAATTATGGTGATAAGTATTAAAACAACAAATAACATTCAAATAAGCAATAGTAAAAACAATACAAAAAGATGGCACACAAACAATAAATAATGAACAGTACTTGTACTATTGCCGGTGTCGGAAACTATGGAAAGTAGTACTAACAGAATAAGTAGAAAAGGTCTCCGTTTTGGTACTCTTGACAGTTTCTAGAAGTTAGTTTTTAATTAAGTTTAAAATTAGATTGAACATATCACAAAGGTACGTAGAGGAAACATCAAGTGTGATATGCAATTCAAATAATAATTGTATTATTTTCAGGTATATTCGAGATATCGAAAATATCTTAGAGAAATTTACTGAAGTCGATTTCAGAAAACGTTTTTGTTTCTCAAAGAAAACTGTGCAAAATGTTGTGTTGTCATTAATCAATCACCAGGAACAAATGACAAATCGAGGCTCTCCTGTTCTGTTGATAATATA